ATGTATTGGTTTCTACTTGAGGTCTGAACGTGCCACTGATTCTCCCAGATGCAGGCTGAAGTGTCTGGGCTTTCAGAGGTGGCAAAACTGAGAGCCTTTTCTTTGTGACCTTTCATGTGCAACCCTGGAGAAGAGGGAGGTGGGACTTGTGCTCCTCAAGACCGAGGAATCTTTCTTAAAGGGCCACATGACATGCAGGCTGAACTTCCATGACTCGGTAATCAGCCCTGAGTACTGGGAGTCCGAATCGGTCTTTCTTCATTGCATTTCCAGGAGAGTCTTCTTTTGGGCATGGATTTTCCTTCAGTGTCTGGAAGCCTGCTTAGCACCTCTCCCACCCAGGCACGGGGATGTCTGTTTCCGTCATGTTTCTCCCTCCAGAGTCCCTGGAGTCCTGTGGGATGCAAACCCCTGGCTAAGCAGCCACAGCCGACTCCTGATCTGCTCTGGCCATAACATCATCCTGTCACCCCCAAGGACAGGAGTGTCACCTGTCAACACTTCTAACTGTTGCATTTGATATAATTCACAAACCATACCATTCACTCGTTTAAAGCATACCATTCAGGCTGGACTCGGTGGCTCACGCCTGTAATCCCAGCACTTTGGGAGGCTGAGGCGGGTGGATCACTTTAGGTCACGAGTTTGAGACCAACCTGGCCAACATAGGAAAACCCTGTCTCTACTAAAAATACAAAACTTAGCTGGACGTGGTGTCACGTGCCTGTAATCCCAGATACTTGGGAGGCTGAGGCAGGAGAATCACTTGAACCCAGAAGACAGAGGTTGCAGTGAGTCAAGATGGCACTACTGCACTCCAGCCTGGGTGACAAAGTAAGACTCTGTCTCAAAAACTAAAAAATAAAAAAAAAAAAGTATACCATTCAGCAGCTTTTAGTTTATTCACAGAGTTGTGTACCCATCACTACAATCAATTTTAGAACATTTGCACCAACCGCAAAATAAACCCACATCCCGTAATCATGCCCAAGCCCTCCATCTTCCCAGCCCCTGAGCACCACTAATCTAGCTCTGTTTCTGTGGATTTCCCTGTCAGGACATTTTGTAGACATGGAATTATACAATACATAGTCCTTGGCAACTGGTGTCTTTCACTTAGCTTAGTGTTTTCGAGATGCATCCATTCATGTTGTGGTGTTTATCGGTGCTTTGTTTTTTTATTGCTGAATAGTCCATCCTATAGATGGACCACATTTCCTGTCTCCATTCATAGAGAATAGACATTTGGGTTGTTTCCAGTTTTGGGCTGTTATGAATGATGCTGCTATGAGTATTTGTGAACAAGTTCCTGTGTGGACATAAGTTTCCATTTCTCTCAGTTATGTACTGATGGGTGTAGTGGCTAGGGTGTGCAGGGAATCTGTGTTTAGTGTTTTGAGGAACTGTCAGTTGTTTTTCAAAGCAGCTGCTCCATTTTACATTCCCATCAACAGTGTATGAGGGTTCCAGCGTCTCTCTATCCTCGCCAACACTGGCTTTTTTTTTTTTTTTTTTGAAATGGAATCTCGTTCTGTCGCCCAGGCTGGAGTGCACTGGCGTGATCTCCGCTCACCGCAACCTCCGCCTCCCAGGTTCACGCCATTCTCCTGCCTCAGCCTCCCAAGTAGCTGGGACTACAGGTGCCCGCCACCACGCCCAGTTAATTTTTTGTATTTTTAGTAGAGACACGGTTTCACTGTGTTAGTCAGGATGGTCTCGATCTCCTGACCTCGTGATCCGCCTGCCTCGGCCTCCCAAAGTCCTGGGATTCCAGGCGTGAGCCCCCGCGCCCGGCCTGGCTCTTTCTTTTTGATTATAATTATCCTCATGGGTATCAGGCGGTGCACTGGCCAGCCCTGATTCTCAAATTCTCCTTCCCTTCATGGCCTCAGGAAATGGAAAAGTAGCTCTTCCTCACTGAAGGGCTGGGAAGCTGGCCTCTCATCATTGTATAAATGCTATCAGATATGTCTGGGAGTTTGGAGGCTGGGATGACCAACTTAGTACGCATTTCTGTAGCTCCCTGTCAATTTAAAGTTCAGCTGAAAGAGAGAAAAAGAAAAACTCTTGCTGAACTAGAGTAAACAAAAATGATGACGCTCTCTCCATTATGCCAAAATAAGAATATAAATTTTAGCAACACTGTTTGGAAGAAAAAAAAGTTTTGGCGTGTAGCATCAATTAGCTGCCAAAATGGAGTTTTGGAAACCTCATCGAACAAGCTTTATAAGCTATAGAATAGGTGATATAAACTTACTTAAGGAATTTTTGGTGAAATGGTCTGGTGTTTTAATTTTTTAAATGTCTCCAATTCCTCTCAAGTTTCCATGAGTTTATCTATTTTAGAGACTGTTGTTGTCGTCATTGTTGTTGTTGTTGTTGTTTTTGAGATAGGGTCTTACTCTGTTGCCCAGGCTGGAGTGCAGTTGCATGATCATGGCTCGCTGCAGCCTTCCAGGCTCAAGTGATCCTCCCACCTCAGCCTCCCAAGTAGCTGGGACCACAGGTGCACACCACCATGCCCCACTAATGTTTTACTTTTTATAGGGACAGGGTCTCACTGTGTTGCTCAGGCTGGTCTCAAGGCATCCTTCTAGGCTCAAGCGATCTTCCCGCCTCGGCCCCCCAAAGTGCTGGGATTATAGGCGTGAGCCACCATACCTGGCTGAGAAAATTATTAACTGATACCCAGGACAAATATATTTTCATCCAGTTGGATAGGCATCTACTTCAAAGCATCCTTACCAGTCACTGCCTTTTATTCTGTATCTCTCTGTAACCAAGCTTCTTGGAAATGTGGAGATATTTTAAAGTTGAAGTACTGTACAGAAAAGCTGTGAGGTCCCAGGCTCTTAGTGGTTTCTGGAAAGCCATAACCAGCAGCAGTTAGAATAAATGGTAGAGGGCCGGGCGCGGTGGCTCAAGCCTGTAATCCCAGCACTTTGGGAGGCCGAGACGGGTGGATCACGAGGTCAGGAGATCAAGACCATCCTGGCGAACACGGTGAAACCCCGTCTCTACTAAAAAATACAAAAAACTAGCCGGGCGAGATGGCGGGCGCCTGTAGTCCCAGCTACTCGGGAGGCTGAGGCAGGAGAATGGCGTGAACCCGGGAGGCGGAGCTTGCAGTGAGCTAAGATCTGGCCACTGCACTCCAGCCTGGGCGGCAGAGCGAGACTCCGTCTCAAAAAATAAAAAAAAATAAAAAAAAATAAATGGTAGAGGTGGGAGAGGGATAATCCCCTGGGTTGTGAAGTCATGGGCATGTCCACCATGATTTCGGTCCTCCCACCCAGCCTCTGGCCCCAAGGTAATGCTGAACACATAGTAAATGTTCAATAAATACTTGATAGTAAGTTGCAGTAGGCTTTAGCATTGAGGTTGGGACTGTGGTAGCTTTCAGAAGTATTTTATGGCCTGGGAATAGGTGATGGCACCACCTCTAGAGCCAGGCTTATCCATTCATTCATTCCGCAAGCATTTGTATTGGTATGTACTGGTGTGAGGCACTGGAGACCTTAGGGATGCAAGTATGAATAGACTTCTTAAGTAACACGTGCAAATGCATATGTAAATCACACTATAACAGTACAACAGATTCACCAATTCACAGGGTGCCAGCAATGGGAACACTGGGAGAGAAAAGCCTAAAATAGTCCTACTCCCAAACCAGAGAATATATAAAACTGAACGTATGTACAGTATATTTCTAGCTCACGTACCTGGCTGTGATATGTTTGTTCAATCCCAATTGCTAGTCAGATATTGATGGGTGTCCTTGGCCACCAGGTGATTTAAAATATAAACATCATGATAGCACAGATTTGATTCTGTTGATGAAAATAAACTGCTCGTTGTGAGGTGGGCAAAGCCTTACTATTTTTAGACCACTAGGGTACCACTTGACAAAGTCTTAATGTATCTCCCAAAATAAGCACTGTTTTCTATTTTAGAATGAGAGTAGAAATATGAATCTATAGCTCAAGTGCTTAGTTCGTTTTTCTTTTTCTCCAGCTCTGTCGCCCAGGCCAGAGTGCAGTGGCACAATCTTGGGTCACTGTAACCTCCATTTCCCAGGCTCAAGCTATCCTCCCACCTCAGCCCCCTGAGTAGCTGGGACTACAAGTGCATGCCACCACACCTGGCTAATTTTTTTTTTTTTTTTGGTAGAGGCTGGGTTTCCCCTTACTGCCCAGGCTGTCTCGAACTCCTGGACTCAAGCTATCCACCAGCCTCAGCCTCCCAAAGTGCTGGGATTACAAGCATGAGCCACTGTGCCCAGCAAAGTGCTTAGTTCTTAAATAGTTTCTCTCACTATTGCACATGCCTTTCATATTTGGACGTTACAGAGGAATTATCCATTTTAAATTGAAAAGTTCATTACCTTAACACATGAATAACCAGTGGAAAGAAAAGTTCCTTTATAACCTAGATACTAGGTAACAAAACTAGTGCTTTGTGTTTTGTTTGTTTGTTTGTGACAGGGTCTCTCTCTGTAGCTAGACACTTAGAGCTTTTCACTGTTAGCCTCAGTAATAAAAATCTTGATCAGGGAACATTTCCTCCTCCGCGAAAAAGCAGTTTGTTTAGTTCTGTTGCTTCAAGATTAGTGTTTTGTTGTACCCAAGAGATCTTTATAATGGAGTTTTTCGTATCATGTACCTCTCCTCCAGAAGCTGACTTAAACGTCGATTAGGAGAGTAGTGATAACCGTGGAAACTATTTTACTTTAGTTATAAAATGTGGTTTATCTCTGCAGTCTTCCTGCATCGCGACATCTAAGCACCTGCAGGATGACTGAGCAGGGACTGGTATTCTTCTGTGTTGCCTGTTGTCATCTTCACGCTACTACCTTTTATTCCTCACCTACATCCTAACACAGTTATTTTCTACTGCCTGTAACATCTGTGGTTTTTGAAATGATTAATTGTATGCAATTCAATTTCATTTAATGATTTTTTTGTTGTTGGTTGGTTTCACCGTCTTTGCATTTCCTGCAGAAGTCCTGGAGGGTATTTGGGAACCAAAAAGAAAAAGAAGAAACAGAAGAGAAAAAAGGAGAAACCAAATTCCGGAGGCACCAAGTCAGATTCGGCGTCTGATTCCCAGGAGATTAAAATTCAGCAGCCTTCGAAAGTGAGAGCTCTGTTTTTTTTTTTTCCCCCTGTGTGGTTTCTTGTGCATATGAGTGGGTTTACGCAGTTTAGCGCCCTGCTGGATCAGATGTGTAGGGACTTTGTTGTGACTGTGTGTTGAATGCCACTAGTAACTGGAAGCTCTTGACAGCCTCCTTAAAACGGACTTTGGCATCCAAATAATGAAGGGGTACACTGTGCTTTTGTGTGTGTGTGGGTACCTGCTGTGTTTTTCCCTTTTCTCAGTGAATTTGTATTTAGATTGTCATTTGAGAAGCAAGTCTCAATGTGAGCTTGTTAGGTTTTTTTGAAATTACACTTTAATATTTGATTACTTTTAGTTCAGAAGATATTCACATTGTAATTTTTCTGGGTGTCTGTCTAATTACCTGAATAGCACAACACCATCTGGCAGCAGATTTCAGCGGGAACAGCCATGGGTAAGTCTCTCGTTGACTTTGAATCAAACCAGTTTGCAGCGGTCGTTCTTCATGTTAGTGCCAAGGGTGGGAAATAGTTCCTGACATTCTCCTAGTTTAGACCAAACCAGAAGTTGTCCAGCTGGGCCCCGCGTTGGCAGATGGTGGCCAAGAAGAGGGTTGATTGTACTGCGTGGGTGTCTGGTGGCACAGATGGCAGCCATCCCTGTCTGTGGAGCCAACCCCCAGGCACCCTGTGTGCTGGGCCTCTGGGAAACACAAAGCCCTCTTGATGCAAGAAACTCACAGTGAAAAGGGTAGAATCAGCCAGGCACGGTGGCTCACACCTGTAGTCCCAGCACTTTGGGAGGCCGACGCAGGCGGATCCCTTGAGCCCAGGAGTTTAAGACCAGCCTGGGCGACATGGCGAAACCCTGTCTCTACTAAAAATTACAAAAAGTTAGTTAGGCACGGTGGCACGCACCTGTAGTCCTAGCTACTTGGGAGGCTGAGGTGGGAGGGTAGTTTGAGCCTGGGAGGTAGCGGTTGCAGTGAGCCAAGATCATGCCACCGCACTGCAGCCTGGTGACAGAGACCATGTCAATCAATCAATCAATCAATCAATATGAGTAGCATGTGGTGTTATGGAAACAGCTCAAGAGGTGACGTCTGAGACCTTGAGCTTGTTCTCTGCCCCTTTGCTCACCAGTTGTGTGCCTTTGCCCGGGTACTGCACTTCCTTCAGCCCAGTCCCTTATCTTCTCTCCAACTTGCCGTTTGATCTTGAGGTTCCAGTTAAAGCATTTTTATTGGAGAGTTTTTACATCCTAAAACAGTGCGTATATATGTATGGTAGTTCCTACCATTCTGCAAGCTTTGTGGATTTCCTTTTTTCTTATGCAGAGTTTCTGTTGTGTTCCATGAAGTGAGTCTTGCAGGTGATTTTGTTGTTGTCACCTGTTTTACACAAGAGAACCGGGAATCACTGAGAAGGAAAATTACTTGCCCCAATTTTTCCCTGACTGACTGCAGGGTGAGAAGAAAATGGGATCTTCCTCCCTAGCTTTTCAACTTGGTTCTCAGGTAATAAATATCCTACCCACTAGACATAGCTTTCCAAGGTAACTCATAGAGGACACCACCATACGCTTGCACAATACTCTTCCCATTTCTAAATGTCACTCCGTCAGATAAACGTGGCATCCCTGACCTGCAGTGTGGACATCTCCTGTTGCTTTCAGCATCACCATCAGTCTCTGCCCATCCCTTCCACCTCTAGTGACTGTGAGCCTTTCCCCTCTCTCTGGTCACTTATGAGAAACTAGAACTAAGCCAGGCAGCCGGGAACTCTTGGCATTATATGGTAGGTATATTAGTCAGGGTTCTCTAGAGGGACAGAACTAATGCAATAGATGGATAGATAGATACATAGGACAGAACTAATGGAATAGATGGATAGATAGATGGACAGATAGATAGATAAAGGGGAGTTTATTAAGTATTAACTCACATGATCACAAGGTCCCACAATAGGCCGTCTGCAGGCTGAGGGGCAAGGAGAGCCAGTCTGAGTTCCAAAACCGAAGAACTTGGAGCCTGATGTTCGAGGGCAGGAAGCCTCCAGCACGGGAGAAAGATGGAGGCTGGGAGGCCAGGCCAGTCTCTCTTTTCACATTTTTCTGCCTGCTTGTATCCTAACTGTACTGGCAGCTGATTCGATGGTGCCCACCTAGATTAAGGGTGGGTCTGCCTCCCCCAGCCCACTGACTCAAATGTTCATCTCCTTTGGCAACTCCTTCACAGACACAACCAGAATCAATACTTTGTATCCTTCAATCCAATCAAGTTGATGTTCAGTAGTAACCATCACAGTAGCGAATTTCTTTTATGAATTTGGAGGAAGTCAGTAGTGTCTTAAGATGGGCTTTTCTCCATTGCATTTTTTAAATCTGGGGCTCTTTTCCTTTAAGCTTATGCCAGCTCTTGATAGCACTGTAAATTACAATGGACTGCATTGCAGAATATTCTGGTCTACACACAAGAACCAAAATAAAAATGATATTTGGATTCTTATAGACTTTTAGTGTGATAAAACTTGGACATTTTTTTCCAAGGTATTAAATTTGGAAAATAATGGATAAAGAGTATGGTTGATGGTTAGTATGCCACAGAAAGCGTGTGTGGAAGAAAAAGAGAATATACCTGCCTCTCACATAGGAGTGGAATCGTGGGAAGTTAATGTCGGGCGGATGTTCATCTCACCTTGCCTGACACACATTCATTCTTCCCAGGTAGTGCTACTATGGAAGGTGAATGGACAGGCATAAGAATTTGTCATAGCTGAGTTTTCCTTGCTGCTTTGTCCCTATGGGTTTGGAAATTGTATTTATTTGAATCTACTTTCAGAAAGCATTTAAATAGGGCCGTATGTAGTGGTTCGTGCCTGTAATCACCACATTTTGGGAGGCTGAGGCGGGCAGATCACTTGAGGTCAGGAGTTCAAGACCAGCCTGGCCAACATGGTGAAACCCCATCTCTACTAAAAATACAAAAATTAGCCGGGCGTGGTGGCACATGCCTGTAATACCAGCTACTCAGGAGACTGAGGCAGGAGAATCACTTGAACCCAGGAGGCAGAGGTCACAGTGAACCAAGATCATGCCACTGTATTCCAGCCTGGGCGACAGAGTGAGACTCTGCCTCAAAATGAAAAACAAAAAAAAAGAAGAAGAAGAAGAAAGAAAGCATTTAAATAGTGAGCATTGGGATATCAATATTTCGCAAAGGGACATTTCATGCTGAAAGTGCTGGTCAACCTGATGAGCTAATTAGGTAGGGAATAAATCACCCGGAAGTCTTCTTCATGGAGTTGGTCGTTTTGGTCACTGGGTCATGTGGAACAAAGATGCTGATTCATGTCTGTTGCAAAATAGTTTGAGTTTGATATATTACTGTTAGAAGATTTGACTCAGAAACCAGGAAAGAAATCAAGGAAAAAAAAACTAAAGAAAGAAAAATTACCATGACAAATTCATTATAGTCATTGTAGTTATATTTTTATAAGACTGGGCTCTACTTTGCCATTTGAAGCTAAACTGATGCACAGTTAAGCGTTATTCGTTGAAATATGCTGTGATCTCCATTCCTGTTTAAATTGTAACGTCTCCTGATATATTGTGTTGTTGGAGTTCAGATACACGTGAATTTCATTTTGCTAGAAATTTGCTCCTTTTAATGTTGAAGACTTAAAAGACACCCAAGGAAAAGAAGTAATCCAGAGATATAATAATGACAACCAGGAAAGTATTTTGTTAAATTTGTATGTGTTACTAAGATAGGACCTTTGTGATTTTGATGTTAATCAAATGTAAGATAAACAGCTTACAAAAACTGTGGCAATCATGCTGTTAGATTTCCAAGCAGAGACAAGAAGACTTTCACCTGCCTCCAGCTGGACTTCAGAACTTCGTTTCCTTAGGGTTCTTGACAGTGTTTGTATGAAACAAACCCTGTTCTGTGCTGTGTAAGACGAGTAAGCTTCCCAGGTTAAAATTATTGCTCCAGACCACAGATTTCAGATTCCAAGTGGAACAGAAGTCCAAAGTTGCTGTTTATAAACTTCTAAGGGTCGATTGTACCTTTCGACGTCCACCCTGTGTTGACATACAGCAAAACCGAAGGGCTCTGAAACTTCTAACCACTTTCTGAATTACAGTGAAGAATATTCTTTGCATGGTGTTGAAGTCCTACAATGTCTCAGTGATTTTACATATTGAAAAAAGTCATTGATTTCCATTTTAGTCTTCTGCACTGTCCTCTCATTTCAAGTAGTCTCATGTTCCATGTATTATCATGTTATTTGAGGAGTTTAAAAAAAAAAAAGAAAAAGAACTGGGGAATCTTCAAGAGGTGGCGGGAATATTGGCTTTGAGAAAGGAATCTTAGAATTTAAAGGTACTGTTTTACCTAAAAAGGAGTCCAGTTTCCAACACTTGGGTTGGAAACAACAGGCTATGGTTGCCCAGGATCTGAAGTACAGAGGAAATTTCTCATCCTTCTGGTGGGAGAGTTTGTCTCTAGAGGATCAGGAGGGTCAGGAGAAGGGCAGGGTGTGGCCGGGAGGAAGGGGCGTGGTTAGAGATTTCCTTTCTTGATCATTTTCATCCCAGTTCAGCACTGGGTTCAGATCGATCTTCCTTCCTTCCTTCCTTCCTTCCTTCCTTCCTTCCTTCCTTCCTTCCCTCCTTGTTCCCTCCTCCCCCTCTCCCTCTCCTTCCTCCTTCTCTCTCTCCTCTTCCTTCCTTCCTTCCTTTCTCTCTCTCTTTCTCTTTCTCTCTCTCTCTTTCTTTCTTTCTTTCTCTTTTCTTTCTCTCTCTCTCCACCTCTCTCCCTTTCCTTTCCTTCCCTTTCCCTTTCCTGACAGAGTCTCACTCTTGTCACCCAGGCTGGAGTGCAATGGCAAGATCTCAGCTCACTGCAACCTCCACCTGCCAGGTTCAAGCAGTTCTCCCGCCTCAGCCTCCCGAGTAGCTGGGATTACCTGCCATCATGCCTGGCTAATTTTTGTATTGTTGTAGAGACAGGGTTTCACCATGTTGGCCAGGCTGGTCTCTTAACTCCTGACCTCAGGTGATCTGCCCACCTTGGCCTCCCAGAGTGCTGGGATTATAGGCGTGAGACACCACGGCCAATCCTCTCTCTTTCTTTGTTTTTTCTCTCTCTCTCTCTTTCTTCCTTTCTTCCCCTCCCCTCCCCTCACCTCTTCTCCCCTTCTCTTCCCTTCCCTTCTTTGCTGTGTTTCCATTCTGGAAGTTCTTTCCCTCATCCCCTCATTGCTTCTGCAGAGCATTTACTCTGCCAGTGCCCCCAAGGCTCGTGGCTGCCTGGCTGCTGGATGACAGTAATGCATGCATTTCACGTCTCCCCCAGAGGAGTAATGCCGGGGACCATTTGTAGGTGGATGGGAAACTGAAGCAAAGCGTGCTTCAATTTAGATTCCCCAAACTGCCAGAGCCCCATTAAAACTAGACAACTGTTGTTACCTTTAACAAAAGGTTTGCTTCTATTTTCATGTGTAACACACAAGCCCATGGCCTTGACCGGCCTTGGAGGAGGATTGTTAGTGTGTAGGTATTATAGTCTCTGAGGCAGATACACGTGCATCTGCTCAAGTTTAAGATCAGCAGCCGCTCTTTCATATTCTGTGTGTCTGTCTTTGCTGTCATAGAATCCCAGTGTTCCAATGGAGAAGTTACAGGATATCCAGAGAGCAATGGAGCTGTTATCCGCATGCCAGGGCCCAGCCAGGAACATTGACGAGGCTGCAAAGCACAGATACCAGTTTTGGGACACACAGCCAGTACCTAAACTAGGTAAGTCTTTCTGCTTTTCTCTTTTTTACCCTAGAAACAAAGCTGGATGAACAACAACAATAAAAACACAAAGAGTATTAACTTCACGTGTATCATTTATTTCATACCACAGATTTGAAATCTATGCAGGAGTAATATTTTTCTTCTGAAAATACAAATACTAGGTAGTGATACTGACTTTTGATAACCATTATTTTAGTCCAATTTCTATCCCAGTGAAAACATCCAATTTCCCCACACTTGAAAAATTACTATTATTATTTTTATTTTTGAGATAGGGTCTCACTCTATCACCCTATCACCCAGCCTGGAATACAGTGGCATGATCATAGCTCACTGCAGCCTCCATCTCCTGGGCTCAAGCGATCCTCCCATGTCAGCCTCCCATATCTGGGACCACAAGTGCACACCACCACACCTGGCTAATTTTTGTATTTTCTTTTTTTTGTAGAGATGCTGTTTCAGTATGTTGCTTGGGCTGGTCTCGAACTCCTGGGCTCAAGTGATCTGCCTTCCTTGGCCTCCCAAAGTGCTGCAGTTACAGGAGTGAGCCACTGCGCCCAGCCCATTAGAGTATTAAAAATGTGTATCAGGTTCTGTGATGGAAGGACCAGGCCCTGAGGGTCCCTCATTCAGCAGGTGTCTGTTGAATGTTATTAAATGCCAGGCATAGTCCAGGGCACACACCTGGAAACAGTGGTGGAAAAGCAGGACAAAAGGTGGCCAGGCTGGGGAGGAGGGGCGACACATTGAGGTAGAGAAAGACTTTAGTTAAGCAACAGATGCTGGAAGAAAGTGATGTGTGATGTGTAAGCTTCTGTTGGGAATTTCAAGGGGCTAGTCCCTTGAGGACCAGAGGGCCTCAAGCCAAAGGAAGGCACCAGGAAGGCCCTGAGCTGAGGCCAACCCTGCTCAGCATGGCCAGAGCACTGGGAGCAGGGGGGAGGGAAGGTATGGAGAGGGGGCTGAGGCAGGCAGCAGCCGTGGGGAAGAGCCTGGGTTTTAGTCCCACCGTGTTGGGAAGCTCTGCAGAGAATGACTTGGAAAAGGTATCTTGGTGGAAATCACTAGAAACTGTGATGGCCTGGACTACGCTGCTAGCAGTTCAGATGGGGAGAAGTAACCAGCTTTGAAATTGTCTTTATGTTTTTCTGGGAGGGGGCAGAGGTCACTGCAGCCCTTTCTTCTCCCAGTTTGTGGAAATGCAGTAAAAAGAACACACCTCCCAAGGCTGTCGGATGAAACCTGTATTGCTTATGACGGTGTGTAAGATAAGCCTGCATTGTAGGCCTTGAGACTCAGAATCACTGTTGTTTGTAATGAAATCTTTGCCATTGGATGACAAAGTATTTCTCCTTTTATTTAATTGGCAAAATAGGCCAGCCACGGTGGCTCACACCTATAATCCCAGCACTTTGGGAGGCTGAGGTTGGAGGATCACTTGAACCCAGGAGTTTGAGATCAGCTTGGGCAACATAATGAGATTCTGTCTCTATAAAAAAAATTAAACAATTAGCTGGGCACTGTGGTGTACACCTCTAGTCCCAGCTACTTGGGAGGCTGAGGAGAGAGGATCGCTTGAGCCTAGGAGTTGAAGGCTTCAGTGAGCCATGATCGCGCTGCTGCACTCCAGCCTTGGCGACAGAGTGAGACCCCGTCTCAAAAGAATAAAAAAAAGAAAAATAACTGGTGAAACAGCAATGATTTCACACCACTGCCTAGCTTTCCTGTTTCAGTCCAGAGGCGCTTGATATAACAGCATCTTTTTAAAGATTATATGAAACCCAAGGGCCCTAAGTCTGATTTTGCTTATGTCGCTGGCCACTTTGGATGGTTAGAATACTTTGTCATTTAATAGTCTCTCTTTTTGCCTTTCTTTTTTCTCTTTCTCTCTCTGCTCAGATGAAGTCATAACATCTCATGGTGCAATTGAACCAGATAAAGACAACGTACGCCAAGAACCGTATTCTTTGCCACAGGGTTTTATGTGGGACACTTTAGACTTGAGTAATGCCGAAGTGGTGAGTGAGTAGAAACCTCTTAAATTCAACTCCTGCATTCACACATTGCTTCTGAGTTGATTCTGAGCACCATGGATAGGACACTTGTTTTATCTTATAGCTCAAGGAGTTATACACGTTGTTAAATGAGAATTACGTAGAAGATGATGACAATATGTTCCGATTTGACTATTCACCCGAGTTCCTGTTGTGGTAAGTCTCAGCGGTCACAGATGTCGTGGATAGGCGCTGTTGACTTGGGGACTCCTGCCTCTGTTCCTGTATTCTTGGACAATAACTGGTGCCTGTTTTCTTGTCTACCGTGACCTCAGGGCTCTGCGTCCACCAGGCTGGCTCCTGCAGTGGCACTGTGGGGTCAGAGTGTCTTCAAACAAAAAGCTGGTCGGGTTCATAAGCGCCATCCCAGCAAACATTCGGATTTATGACAGGTACATGTTTAAGCTCGACCATGCTGTTTTTATATGTTTCTTTTCCAAGAATTACAATTAGAGTAGGCCTTTAAAAGTTACTGAATGCAGGCCAGGCGCGGTGGCTTACGCCTCTAATCCCAACACTTTGGGAGGCCGAGGCAGGTAGATCACCTGAGCTCAGGAGTTTAAGACTAGCCCGGTCAACATGGTGAAACCCCACCTCTACTAAAAATACAAAAATTAGCCGGGCGTGGTGGCAGGCACCTGTAATTCCACCTACTCAGGAGGCTGAGGCAGGAGAATTGCTTGAACCCAGGAGGCAGAGGTTGCAGTGAGCCGAGATTGCGCCGCTGCACTCCAGCCTGGGTAACATGAGTGAAACTCCGTCTCAAAAAAAAAAAAAAAATGACTGAATGCAAGCTGTCGGTGGTCAGGGAGGTTGTGTATGGGTGGAGGCAGAGGCTTTATGGAAACTCTCTGATTGGTTTTGCTGTGAACCTAAAACTGCTTTAAAACATAAAGTTTATTAAGTAGTAAAGAAAAAAAAACCTGGACTGTGAATAAAAATAAAGGACAGTAGGTTCTCTTTTTCTCTCTCTGCCGCTCAGTCTTATACATGCTCACACATATACGTATCAGAATAAACAAAGCCTTGGCCAGGCATGGTGACTCACACCTGTAATTCCAGGACTTTGATCGAGGCTGAGGCTGGCAGATCACTTGAGGTCAGGAGTTCAAGACCAGCCTGGCCAACATGGCGAAACCCCGTCTCTACTAAAAATACAAAAATTAGCCAGCATAGTGGCACGCACCTGTAATCCTAGCTACTTGGGAGGCTGAGGCACGAGAATCACTTGAACCCAGGAGGAAGAGGTTGCAGTGAGCCAAGATTACACCATTGCACTCCATCCAGCATGGGCAACAGAGCAAGACTTCATCTCAAAAAAAAAAAAAAATTGCTTAAAAATTTTTTAGGAGAGCTAAATCTTTCCCTTCCATTTAGGACTACTTGCGATTTTTTAGTTAGGATCTCCAGCCCAGAAAGTCAAAGATCCAGCTGTGAAAGTCAAAGATGTCATAATAATTGGTCTCTTTACTTTTCAGTGTATTAGGTTAGCTTATTTACTGTGAAAAGCATTTGAGCTGAAGGAATATTTTGTGCCAAATGAAATGTGTACCTGGAAACAGAGCCAGGAACAGGCTTTGAAGATCCAGGAGGTTTATTGTAGCTCAGAACAGCACCAGCTCTGGTCTGCTCAAAGCCCCTCTCAGGGATCCCAGGGATTTGTATCACACTCCAAAGCAATTATCTTACCAGATTCTGCACCGGATGACCCAGTTATTACCGTAATTGTGTACATTGTTGGAAAAACAGATCTAGAAACTTAAAGAGGGGTAGGTCGTAGTGATTCATGCTCGTAATCCTAGCACTTTGGGAGGCTGAGACGGGAGGATTACTTGAGGCCAGGAGTTCGAGACCAGCCTGGTCAACATAGTGAGACCTCATCTGAAAAAAAAAAAAAAAAAAAATTTAAAGAACCATAGCTGATCCAATTTCTAAACTGAAAACTTATAACAGACCAAAGTCCTAAAATGTATTTAGAACAAGAGGGTTGGAGCCTCCATGCGTTTTACAGTCATTTTGGCAGGAAGATATGGGGAATAGTGTTTCCGTCTGAATTTGTGAAATGTCTAAGTGATAGAATATTTTTCTTAAATATTGTATTAAAGAGTGGCTTTCAGGCCAGGCGCGGTGGCTCATGCCTATAATCCCAGCACTTTGGGAGGCCAAGGCAGGTGGATCACGAGGTCAGGAGTTCGAGACCAGTGTGGTCAATATGGTGAAACCCCGTCTCTGCTAAAAATACAAAAATTAACTGGGCGTGGTGGCACGCGCCTGTAATTCCAGCCACTCGGGAGGCTGACAAAGGAGAATAATTTGAACTCGGGAGTCAGAGGTTACAGTGAGCCGAGATTGCACCATTGCACTCCAGCCTGGGTGTCAGTGCGACAGTCTGTCTCAAAATCCTTATTTTTTAAGAATGTGTGGAACTCTTCATTTTTTAATCTTGTTTTTGACTCTTAATGCTTCAGCCATCTTTATTCCGTTAGGTGTGAGACAGATGGTTAGAAATCAACTTTCTTTGGTGTTCATAAGAAGTTGAGATTCCAACGGTGGCCCAGGTGCTAAGTCCGAGAACTCCTAGGAAGAGGTGAACGCTGAAAGGGATCTTCCAGGGCTGGTGTACCCGCGGGGAGTGGTTCTTCCTAAGCCTGTTGCCACGTGCAGGTACCAGTTACCATATTTACCTCGAGGTTCCCCTCCCTTTATCAAACCATGTTTGGAGGCTCCACCACTGTTCTGAGGTAGTTTGCTCGGTAGCCAGGAGGATGAACCTAGAATCGACAAGTCCCCCAGTAATTCTTCTGGGTATTCATTTGGCACTTGGGTGATTAAAAAAAAAGTTTTTGTGATATTTTTTTCTACTAATGGATACTGGAATCTATACTTTTTTTTTTTTTTGAGGCAGACTCTCGGCTCTGTTGCCAGGCTGGAGGTGCAGTGGTGTTGATTCGCTTCACTGCAACTGCCGCCTCCTGGTTCAGCGATTCTCCCTGGC